TAGGATTCGTGGAAAGGGACAGGAAACTCATCACTAATAATTATATCACCTAAAGCTTTTCTCCTTGTCCTATAAGCAACTACATTTTACCACTAGAAAGTTTCCCACTGTAGATAGACTTGCAAATTGATCTAAGCAATATAATTAAGAAAACAAAGAGATCAACATCACAAATACCTAGAACTGTAGAAGTCAGGTTGTTTTTAACACTTCCTTTTTGACCTATTCAGGTGGAGGCGGGGGGGAAGCTTAGAATTTTTCTATTAAACCTAAAATGGTCAGGCTACAGACACAAAGTTCAGACTGGGCCAGGGAAGAACAACACGGAGGGCAAAGAGAAGACCGTGTTTCATGCCTTGCAGCCGAGTTTGAGCGCTGAAAGGAGCCTCGGTGCAGTTCTTCCTGGCAGTAAGCACTTCAGATATTCAGGGTCAAGTCCTGCTCGTCTCCGTCACACAAGAAATTGCCCGGAGATGCAGTGACACATTTAGCATGAGTTGGCTTGCATGACCAGGGAGGGGCTACTAATACCCTTTTAAAAATCAAAAACTCATATTATGGTATCTTCATAGGGGAGGAGTGATCTATATGTCACGAGCGATTTAAAGTGTGTTCTGTTCCACTTTACATTACAAGCAAAAGGAAATGAAAAGGTAAAGATAAAAAAAGATGTAAATATTAACCCAACCATGAAAACAAAAAGCTCACATGCTACTACATCGGTTTTCTTCACAGCTTTTAAAAATGAGTCCCCTATCTCCTGGAGAAAAGGGTTCGTTCATTCCAGGAAAGTGCATTAAAAAGCGAGCCTAGGAGCGTGGCGCCATAAGGATTGAGAAAAGTTAGTGTGTCAGCGTGGGAAGGATCCTCTCAGGGGCAGCGAGAATCTCTGTACGCGAGGGCTGACGTCAGTGGAAGTGGGAGGGAAATGGGGATGGGGAGGTTTGTCAGGGAAATGATTGAGGATGGTTGCAGTGGGAATGGGGAGGAAGGAGGAGAGCGCGGGACGGCCTCAGTGGAAGCAGGGACAGTACACGGGGGAGTTGGAATGGGAGGGAGGGCTCGTGTGTTCCAAGGGGAAGGAATTACCAGAACAGGCAGGAAAAAAGCAGACAGCTTAAGAGGCTAAATAATGTGCAGCTACATGCTGAAATGAGACCCAGTTCAGCACTGAAGATACGAATTAACACACAGCCTCCTATACACAGAATTATGCAACTGCTGATTCACAGCGACTGCAAAGTTAACTGGCAATTTCACATGTTTGGAATGAAGAAAACTCACTAGCTGTAATGCTGTGGATTTAAACTGGTTGTCCCATACCAGCTGATAAATCCAAAGGCTATTCCAAATTTAGCCCTGCTGGCTTAGGCCAACTTTTAATCCAAAATAAGGGAAGTTTGGATTCACTCTCTGATCTCCTTGCACCCAAATGCACAAATTTCTGTTAAATATTCACAAGAAAGAGTTATGTAAGAGGAGGAGGAAATCTCACACACGTAAAAGAAAGACAGGGTAAAATAAACATAAAATATTTGTGTTACACAGTGTGTTAATGCTCTGTAGAAGACTGACACACAGACATGATGATGGGACGGGGTTTGCCCAGGAAGCCTGAGTCTGTTTTACACAAATGCTCAAAGTTCTTATTCCACAGCAGCATTTGCTCTGCTTATGCCATAAATCAACCACAAATATTACCTTAAAACTATTTCAGTGGATTTCTGGAAAGTTCAAGTACATTGAACTACACAGATACCTAAAGATTAAAAACTTAAGACATGAAAAAAAAAAAAAAACAGAATATAACAATTTTGAGTCTGCTTTTTTGAGACTCTTAGAGACTAAACACCCTGGAAAGCTCTCCTTTACTGTGCAAGTTTCCTTTAATATTCCCACCATAGCCCTGTGCAACCAGTCACTGCTATTGAGAATAAGTCTTGCATATCTTTCACTACTGAGAGTGCAGATATTTAGCTGTGGATCTACATTTTGAAAATTAAAGGCAGGTTTCCCATGGCTGATTCTCTTTTTATGTATGGCATTTATCTCAAGCTGCTCAGAAATTTTCAGCTGAAAGCCAGATATAAAATTACTACTTAAGGATAAAGATACAGGTGATGTTATCAAACATGATTTATTATGAAGGTCATCTGTTAATTACGTACTATCACCATATCTATATATACACTCAGATTAGGGATTACTGCATACATCTGTGCGCACACACGCACTTTTGGAACTACTCTGCAAGTTTACTAAGGCTAAAACTAGTTTTTTTCAGTGGTAGAAAAGACCAGGTGACTTATCCAGCTACCTTTTGTGAATGATGCAAATCACAGACTATAGCGTGATGACACCGCACATTCAAAAAAATGATTCTCTGCCATTTGATTAGAGGAAAGACGTAGTAACACATAAATATAATGCCAGAATAAATCTGGGGGCTAATTAGCAATATATATACTGACATTTTACAGTTAGTATTGGTTATATATTTTTAAAACACTGAGTTGAAAAATTTATACTATAGCTAAAACAAGCTGATTCTGTAAAAGTCCTTATAATACCTACTACACCTATTTTAACAAACTGCTGATTCCAGCTGAAGCAAAAATTTATACTTGGGCCAAGCCTTGTTCTTAGCTCTCATACAGGACTTTCTTGACATTAACCTCTGCATACACCACAAAAATAACATGCATGATCTTCCATTACAATGCCCTGAACTGAAGTAAAAATGCCACTAAGGCAGATGACTGGTTACCCACACAAGTTCTGATTACAGAACCAAAGCACAACAGGTATGAAGCATCTTCTGTCTGAGGCACCAGAAAGGGCATATGTACCACTTTACAGAGTAGCAGTAATTTGTAGCACCACACTGATTCTCCAGTTCTGTCACAGATCAAAATCCTTTCAACTTCGAAACTGCACAATATCCTGCCCAAGGCTACTTTTGGCTTCAATGATTTCAGGCTCCTGTCTCTTATCTTCAACATTTTCATACCTTGATTCTTTCTAAACAACTTCACCGTACTGTGAAGAGAGAAACTGCAGAAGTGCAGCTCTCTCCAGCACAACTTCCGAGACAACGTGGTTAAGCTCTAGCGCAGTAAATATCACAAGATGCACATTAATTATAAAATCAAAGAATAAAGTAACATGCTGCTTTATATCTGAGGAGTATTATAGGATTTTGCACATGTAAATCATACAGATATGATGTTTCATTCAGATTTTGCATTAATCACAGATTCTACTCTCATTTTTCAAAATCCACAGTTTTGCAGAAACGTTTTTACAGTAATGACAGGAGTGGACTATACCATTCAATAATAAAAAACAGAATAACTGCCAATGAGATCAGAGTACACATATAAACCAAAACCATATAGCATCTGGTTGAACCATACACAACTAGTAACAAGATGTTTTTACAAAGTTATTGACATCAAACAACAAAACATAATAAAACTAAGTTTGCTTCCCATGCATGCTTACAGAAATGTTTTTTTTCTTTTCCTCCTCAAGAAGCACACAGAAGGCAAAATCATACGGTATAAACTTTAAAAATATTTTCATTTAAATTTGTTAATGTACAATTAAAAATTAAGCAAGCAAAACAACTGTTATCTAATGGTAACTTAAATTTCCCTACTAAGGTTACCAAGATTTCCTAAGCAAGTCTTTAGTGTGTGAACTCGCTGTAAAGTCCAGTTTCCTGAACTGAACAGTCCTATTAACGTGGACTTTCAATTTAATGTAACACCATTCACCTTCACATCCTTTTTTTAGGTATTGCTAATTCCTTCTTCAACTCATTATTTACAGTAAGTATCCACATTTTCTATAGTTTTTTGAAAAAATCCTATGAACTGAAACTACTAAATCTAGAGGAAGAAAAGAGAAGAAAATCACTCACGGTACTGGAGAAAATTGCTCCAGGCCAATGCCTTAAAACTGCCTTAATAAGCACATAAAAATCCCAAGAAAATTGCAAATTATTAGAGTTTCTGTGAGCCTGCAAAACAGTTGACATTTTGGTACTTACTGACCACCTCTTAAGCCTATATCTCATATTTACGGCATGTGGATCTCAGTTCTTATAGTAACCCAGAACTGATCAGCCATGTTATATAATATCCCTACGAAGCTACATTTTTTTAAAACAATTGCAATTACTTGTTTTTGCAAAAAGAGACAATTCTCAAAAACAACACTACAGTAGTAGGAACTAAAATACAACCCATAAACAACCAGACCACTAGTGGAAAGTAAAGACACCAGCAAGCACTCATCACCACCAACTCCTGTACTTGAAAACCCCACAGGTTACAATTTCTTTTCGGTCAAGGTCTCTCTACAGCACACAGGCCTTATGTTGCACCTCTGTGCAAATGTACCCACACAGACACGTATGCACAAATATGCTAGAAAATGTCCTATGTGCAGCAACACACAAGGTCAACAAGTTGTTAATGAAATGAGTACCCAGAACAAGAACTGCTGAACTGCTGTCCTCTCGTTTCCACCTCCCCAAGGGAAGAGAGGCGCACGAACTCCCCAGCCCATCTAACCGACTGCTCCGGACAGCGGTCGGCCAAAAGAGGCGAGCACGAGCAGTGACCGGGAGAGCCCGGCGCAGACGGACATGGAAAACACGCTAGCGGCAGGGCAGCTCACCCGCACCGCAGCCCCAGCACAGCCAGGCCCTCTGCGCTCCCAACACCCTGGGCTCCGGCCATGGACCGGGACAATTAACACCGCTCTCCTTCGCGGCGTTAAGAAAACTTGTTCTGAGGAACGAAGAACGAGGCTCGGGAGCATCTATAAAGTCGATTCATGAGACTGACCGGTTTATAAACGAAAGTAACAGCTCACGCCAGAAAAAGCTCTCCCACAACGTACGGCTCAGGCAAGGAGACTCCTCGGGTTCAGTCGCTACAGCCAGCTCCTGTTCTGAGAGAAACAGTGCTTACGTTTCGCACCCTTTTTACCTTAACACTGGATCTGCTGGTCTGAGTCTCTGCCTCCATGCTCTGGCTGTTCTCCCTCTTGTCTTTCTTAGAGGAATTAGTCCTCACCTTATAAGTGGATGTGTTGGAGGATTTAATGAATAATCCTGGGACGGGGTTGCCTTGCTGCTGTTGAGACATGGTTGTGTTGGTCTGGTGAGGAGAATTGCACTCCTCTGACTCTTTGCTACTGTGATAGACCACTCTGCTGTCAGAGATGTGGATGCTTGGAGCACAGCCCATGCTTTGTGGCCACCTGGGGAATATTTCTAAATTGTATATATATATATGGGTGTGTACATATATATAAAAAAAAAATTCTTTCCGTTGGTATTTTCCCTCTGCTTAATTTTTTGTTAACAGGTTGAGTATCTTCCCTGTGTCTCCGCTATACTCTGAAGCATTGTCATCAGTCCCTTCTACACCACCAGGAACGTGTCTGTTCTCCAGGTCCTCCAGGAAACGGATCCTTTTAGCTCAACCTCAGGAGTGGGTTGGGGAGGGGAGGGAAATCAAGAACTGGTCGACTTCATATTTTTCACAGATTAATATTAATTTTTCTAAGCCATCTGAGAATCTTGGTAGGGTTTTTCTTTCCTTCTAGGGTAGAAGAAGGAAAAAAAAAAGGCAAAAATAAAAAAATTAAGAAAACCCAACCCCAAAACCACACACACACCCCAGCGTCTTCTCGGGCTAGGCGCTCAGCGCGGCCGGGGGCTTTGCACCATCTCCTCCCTGCCAGTCCGGAGCGCGGCGCATTTTCCGCCGGGCTTTGCTCAGCGTTACCGATTAACCCGGGTGCGGGCCGGGGGTCGCTCCCGCCGCCTCTTCCGCGCTCGCTCCGCGCGCTGCCGGCC